CTCACAGCAAGAGGGTCCTGGGATCCCGGCTGGGGCAGGGCCTTTCTGTTTGAATACTCTAACCCATGTATGTTAGGTGAAGTCTCCACTCCATGGTGATCTATGGAAATTCTACACCACACCAGGAAGACGCCTTCGACGTACATACACAAAGATCACAACTTTTAATTGTAAATGTCTTTAGAATCCACTGACCAAATTAGCTTGCAAATCGCCTAAAAATTCCTGTTGGGTTTGAGGTCCAAGAGGGTTTATGTGTGAGCTGATTTTACATATCAGTGAAATGTGCTGCTGATGGTCTTTAGGGGGCGCTGTTGAGTCATTTTGCCACACCCATGCATAAAGCCCATAGAATACGTGTATCTTCGCCACCGCCAACATGTGTACCGAGTGAGTTTTTGAGCATGTTGCAATGCATTGTGGTTCAGAATAATAGTTTCAATAGAGCCTTAATGAAAGAATCCCAGTAACACTCTTTATTGTATACAGTGTGTATATTTCATTTATTCTAGATTTCTATTATATTTTTATTGTTTATGATATCTTTGATTGTTTTTATTTCATTATATTTCCTGTTTGTACCTCATCTCATGCTGTTTCTCCTCCAGGGGATCAATAAAGACTTGTTTTACCACATTAAAGAAGAAACGTGTGCAGTCTTCCCTTTTAAAGTGTTTAGGACTGTTATGTTGTCTACATGCTCTGTACAGTAACTTCCTGTACTCCTCACCGGAGCTCTATGACCTGGTAGACTGACCATCACTGAATCTACGTTATGGAAGCTCAATGTGATGGAAAGTCATTATAACAAGAAACTTTCTCAAAATATGGAATTAGTTTCACAAAGTCATTATTTTAAGATACTAAGAGAAAATATGGAGAAAGTTTCTCATTCACGGAATCCTTCTTTCCCATCACAGTGGCAGTAATGATCTTAATGACAGACTATTTTATTTGTGTATTTCTGGGTACAATTCCACGCTGGATAAACTCATATTTATATAATCTGACCCAGAACTGCAGCAGTCGACAGCTTCAGTCCACCAGGTGGCGCACACTGAGCTGCTTTCTCTTACTTTGCTCCCTGGACTGCAAAACTTACTGCATCTTCACACTCTGTATCTCTCTCTCTATATATATATATACATATATATATATATATATAGTCCCACTGGAAGAGTTTAATCCTGTTGAAGCTCCATGTAACTGAGAACTGTGACTGGTTTTAGTCTGTGTGTGTGTTTCTGTTGTTACTGTGAGCAGTCTGAGCAACATCTTCCTCCTGAAACAGACTCTTAACAGACTTCCTGCTAAAAGGAATAAATAAAAATACTAATATTTTATTTTTTTAGTTCATTTCTATGAATAAAACATTTTTTTATAGTTATTTTGAAATATATTATTATTTAAGATGTAAACTTTGAAGCTGTGAACACAGTGTATATTATTATATTATTATGATTATTGATCACAGTGTATATTATTGATTTTATTATGCATCAGAAACCAATCAGTTGAAAGAAGAAAAATATTAAGTCTGATTGTTTTAAAAATGATAAAAAAAAAAAAATACAGAATACAGACAGAGAATGGATCATGATATCAGGAAAAACTCATCTGGTGATCAATATTCACAGGAAATAATCAAACTGGCAGTTATTGGAGTTCACTGTTTGTGTTCATTGATCAGTTGATCAGCTGTTCTCTGCTGTTATTGATACTGATCAATATGAAATATATAGTCCGTTTACTGATGATAGAACAGGTTGGGAATCAGTGTCCTAATTTCATCATAATTTATTAATATTAAATCTAATCTAAACTAATGTTACTTCCAGCATACAGAACTTCATATTCTCGTATTTAACTTGTGAAAAGACGTCTTTATAGATCTTTAACGTCCAGGAGGAGCTGGTTTGTGAGCTGCTGTTAGTTTAAATGATTGTATTAGAAAGACAGAAATATAAAGTATGGTTGTCCACAGTGTGACCAGTGCGAGGTTAGAGTTAGTAGAGACGCTGCAGAGGAACTTTATTCGCACAGCTGTGAGTCAGACTGGATAAAACCTAAAAATACACATCCACACACATGTATGATGTAATGTTCATTAGGCTGTTCTCACCTGAGTTCACCTTTAAGGGTTTGACTGACAGCTCACCTTTTGTCCCGAACACGAACACAAAAAGATTCTTGATTAAGCAGCTTTTACTCATCATTTTAAGTGACACTAACTTAGTTTTGTGAGTTACAGAAACATTACTATATATATACAAATACAAATTATAAGATCTCATATCTTAAAACCCACCTCTTTTCTTCGG